GGGAGATTCTGGGGTATTGGTGAACCACATGGCATTGGTTGAGAACCTTTGTTGGTAGAGTGGGCCCTGGTTACCAGAGAAAGCCTCAAATGGTTGGAACTCAGGCAGTTAAGTATGGTCATGGTAAGGTCGAAGAAGATATCTGTAGGGCACTGACAGGGTCTGCGCAAACATAGGTGGCCTGGACTATGCCTATCTTGTTCTTCATGGATCTCCAGTTCCTAGCACATTCTCTGGCATTTATAAGCACTCAATACATACTAAGGAATGAATAGATAGATGGATGGATGTGTGGCATTTGTACTAAGTCTTCACGGATAAATAGGATTTCTCAGGGCTCACAGGATAAACTCAGAAGTATGGAAGTAATCCATTGTGCCTCTGGGTTGGAGAAGCTCTCATGGTAACCCATGGTTTTGTTAAAATTTGCAGCTACTTAGAATGTGCTTCCTCTTTGGTATTATTGTTGTGGTTGTTAGGGCCCATCAAGTCAGTTCCAACTCACAGCAAATCTGTCTGTAATAAAATGAAATGCTTCCTAGCCCGGTGCCATCAGGACCAGTGTTGCTATGTGTGAGCCCATTGGTGCAGCCACTGTGTCAATCCATCTTATTGGTGATCTTCGTCTTTTTTGCTGCCCTTCGCTTTACCAAGCATGAAGTCATTCTCCAGGGACTAGTCCCTCCTGATCACATGTCCAAAGCATATGCGATGAAGTCTCCCCTCTTCACATTGAAGATACATTCCGTCTGTACTTGTTGCAAGACCTCATTGTCTATTCTTCTGTCAGCCCATAATATAGTCAATGGTCTTCACTCATACCAGAGTCCATTTGTACCCATTCTTCTTCTTTTTTGCTCATTGTCCAACGTTCACATGTCTAGGAGGTGACTGAGCATACAGCTCATGGCTCGGGTCAGGAGCATCTTGGTCCTCAATGTGACGTCTTTGCTTTCCAGCACTTTAAAGAGGCCTTTTGCAGCCAATTTGCCCAACACAATCCATCTTTTGATTTCTTGACTGCTATTCCTGTGAGAATTGATTGCAACTGCCAATAATCTGCTTCCTTATACCTGCCCTTCTCTTCTCCCGGGTGTGTCCTTTGGACCAAAGCAAAATCCTAACTCATTCGTGTCACAGTTTTCATGTCTCTCTGATAGCTTCTCGCTACCTCAGATGAAACAGATTATCTGGATTTTTTAACACCACAAAATGCTAGCTTAGGGCCACAGGGTAAGTGTGTAGGATACAAGGTTCTCTAGTCACCTTGGGGTCCTCCAGACCTGGGCTTAAATTCTGGTCCTTCCAGTTGTCTAATATTGGATAGATCAATCTATTCATCTGTGAAATGAAGATAAGAATGCTTATGTCTTGGGAACTTATACTAGTTAATACATTTCATAATCTTCCATTGAACTTAATGGCCTTTTCCACCATGATGCTTCCAAGTCATATCTCTCTGTCCCCCTGGACCTGTGAGTTTTCAATCTATAATAAGGAAAACACACACACAAAATTCTCAACCCACTACCACCAAGTCAATTCTGACTCATCCCAGTCCTATAGGACAGAGTAGAACTGTTCCCTGGGGCTTTCAAGTCTTTAAATCTTCATAAGACTAGACAGCCTCATCTTTCCATCAAGGATCCACTCGTGGGTTTAAGATGCTGACCTTATAGTTATTTGGTAACCCACTTTAGTATTTAGTAAGGACCCCGTAACAAAGATAAGAGTAGATAAATCCCTGTATCAGCAGGCCGCTGCACAGAGGATTCGGTTCAAAGGAGGCTGAGCGAGGCCTCATTCTCCTCCCCTCCAGAAACTCAAAGTTAAGCAGCCATCCTTGTTCTTGCAAAAGAAAAAATAAGTATTGCTCACTTTTCACCTGCTGAGCAAAGGGACTGATTACGCAAGAAAGGGAAGTGTTACCCACAGAAATCAATACAGATGAGGCTTTGAAAAGGTTGGCTGGCTGCACAGGATTAGATATTGATCTGGCTTGTTTTCCCAGTTATTGCTCTGCTCACCACCTGTGGAGCAACCCCCTCCACCCTCCCGCGCCATAATCTCCCCTAATGCCAAACAAGAGAGCCCAGCCTCGGTGCACAAGGACTTCAGAACATGAAGAACCTCCAGGACTTGTGTCCAGAAAACCAGGACCCTGAGGGAAAGAGTCCTGCTACACGGTGACATGGCATCTCAGGACTGGGGAGCGGAATACACCAGGGGTAGGCACATGTGGACTGGACCTGGTGTGAAAGGTCCTATCTTCATACCTGCGCCACAAAATTCTGGGATATCCAAAAAGCACGTGTGCACACACATGCACCCACAGGGATATGAGAAGGCATCGCCACAAATATCTGTTGGTCCCTCTGAGAAAGACCTGTGAATGGAAATCTGGGGCATAAAAATAAGTGCTGGAAGGAAGCCCACACAGACATAGTAAAGCAACAGTCAGAGAACATTGTTTTGCCTAGCAAATTGGGAAAAGGTTTTTTTCATGATGATATTCGATATCAAGTATTCAAGGAAATAGAAAGAGTGAATAAATTTTCTGGAGGGCAATTTGACAAGGCGTTTCAGGAGCTGTAAAACTCATAATACGTTAAGCCAATATTTCTACTCCTAGAAAATGATCTGGAAAAATATCATTTAAAATGTGTGCCAACGCTCTGACACAAGGGAAAAGATGCAGCCCCCTTCTTGGGACATTGAGCGATGGCCGAAGGGGAAAGGCTGGTTGCAAGGCCCAGGATGGGATGGGGGCTCTGAAATGAGCAGTTGCAGGACCCTGTGCAATGCAGGTTCCAACCTGCACCAAAGGAAAGAAAATCAAGGCCAAGGACCTTAGCTAGACCATCAACATGTGCTCCTCACTGTTAGGAATGTGGCCTGACTCCACTCCTGCCCTGGAGGGGATGACTCTGTAGAAGGGGACACAGACACAGCCATGGACGAGTGCACAGAGAGCAATGATGGAAAATAAGGGCGGGAGATACAGAGGACAGGTGGCTACTTCTAGACAGTGGTCAGTAAGACTTCACCAGGGTCTGACACATGAACTGAGTCTGCAAAGCGAATGAGTTTGGGAAGGAGATAACGGGACAAACATTCCAAGGTAAGAGGGAACATTTATCGAGAGGCGTGGGCATAGAGAAGAATAAGATGAGAGAGGGGACTGCAGAACAAGGATGAAGGAGCTGATAGGTGTCCTTGTAGGCTACAGATCATACTGACCCAGAGTAACACTACAATTGAAGGAGACAGGGAATCCAAGACAGTTGTTCATACTTTCCTTTAAACCAAAATCATCTTTCTAGAACTTTAGGCATGGGTGTTCTTTTCTGCCTGACCCCTCATGACCTTTTCTCACAGAATAAAATCTATTTCAAAGCTCAAGCTCTGAAAAATACTCGTGGAAGATCTCTTGCCCCCAGGACCAGTTGTGATTGCTCTGATGAAAAGGCCCCAACTCCTTTCAAACAATTTTACTTGTATTATTGTCACAGGACTTGGTCTCTTTCATCTTCACAGTAGCAGCTAAGAGGATGCAGAAAATATTTTGATAAAATCTAACGCCCTTTATTGAGGAAAAAGGAAATTCCTCAAGAACTCATGTGATTCAGGACATATATGAAAAGCCAACATCCAACATTGTACTTAACTTTCTCCTTAGAATTGGGAACAAGACAAGGGTGCCCAGTGCCACAACTTTTATTCACTATATATTAGAAGTCCTAGCACTAAAACAAGAAATTAAGACATCCAGATTGAGAAAAAATAAAATTATCTCTGTTCACAGATGATGTGATCCTAGACATAAAAATCACTGAGTCCATAAAAAAACATCTAGCATCAATAGAGCAAACAAAAAAATAAGCTGGGTTTCTATCTACCAACAATGAGAAATATGAAAGGGAAATCACAGGAATATTCTATTTATAAGAGCATCTAAGGGATAGAATACCCAGGAATAAATCTAGCCAGAAACGTGAAGGACTTATGAAATGAAAAGCATAGACATTGCTGGATAAGATTAAAGAAGACTTAACTAAATGTAAAAAGGTTCTATGTTCATGGATTGGAAGACTTAACGTTGTGAAAATGTCAACCACCCAAAGTGATCTATAAATTCAGTGCAGACCCAGTAAAACTTCCAGCAACTTTCTCTTCCCCGGAACTGCCAAACCAATCCTCAACTTTATGTGAGATGACAAGAGGCTCTGAATAACTAATGCAAAGTTGAAAGGGACAAAAGGAGGAGGATTCATCCTTCCTGATTGCAAAGCATCCTGTATAACTAGCTACAAAGGAAACCTGGGGGTGCTAATCAAAAGGTTAGCAGTTCAAATCCATCAGCCACATCTATGGGAGAAAGTTGAGGCTGTCAGTTCCTGTAAAGATTTACAGCCTCAGAAAGTTTTCATAGCAGGAGTAGAGACCGTCATGCCTCCTAAGTGGGCCTCCTGAGACCCTCAAAATCCTCAACACTAGCTAACATCACACACCTCACTAAAGAGAAGCATTTCCAGCCATCACCTTGGGGGGAGTTATTAAATGACCAAATATAGCACGTAAGTTTTTAAGTGGATAATTTTGTAGGACTCATGAATGATGTTTCAAATATCCAAATGACACTTGGCAATAAAAGCTTCCCCATCCCTGCTATATAAGACTTCATTTCTTCTACTGACTTAGTAGTAGTTTTACATATATATCATTTGTATATAATGTTTATATAAATATTTATATGTATTGATATATGTTGCATATATTTAGATTTGAGACATTTTGATAGGTGTGTAGTGATACCTTACTATGGTTTCAATTTGTGTTTCCCTAATGCTTAATGATGCTGACTATCTTTTATGTGCTTACTTTTAACAAGTATTTTTTGTAGCTATTATTGAAAATATACACAGCAAAACATAAACCAATTCAGCTGTTACATTCTTTAGGTTGTGCAACCATTGTTCACACTTTCAAGCTTTTAAGACCCATCTATACTTTCAGGGATCATTTCTATAGTTCGTACAAGCGAAGATTCTCTGATCATGTAGAGCACCGAAAACCACGTGGAGGAGGCACAGCATTCTCTCCTGAGTGTGAAGCAGGCTCCTGGTGCTGCTTTATTGCAGCTGCCATTTGCCTTTGATGATCGTTCTTCTCTGCCCTTGTGCAGAGGGAGAGGGAGAGAATGTAGTCTGAGTGGCAACGCAAAGGAAAACATAAAGACCCCCGCATGCAGCAAGGCTCATGCCTTCTGCGGGCTGAGGGGTTTATCCATTCATCTGCTGGTGGGCCGTCGGATTGTTTCTGCCTCCTGCCCATCGTGGGTAGTCAGCACTGCTGTAGAGTCTCTGTGTGCACCTCTGCTCGCAAGTGCAATGGGTGGTAGCTTAGGAGGGGAATTGCTGGATCATAGGGTAGCTTTCATTTAAGTTTTTTGAGCAACTGGCTTGCTCTTTTACACCATGGCTGTACCATTTTGCATCCCTGCAATGTCTACTCAAGTGTTTGCCCATTTTATGATTGGGTTATTTGTCTCTTTGTTGTGCAGTTGTCAAAGTTTTATATATGTATATTGGTCTTTTTTTTCCCCAAAGATCATTTTACTGGGGGGCTCTTACAGCTCTTAGAACAATCCATACATCAACTGTATCAAACATATTTGTACGTATGTTGCCATTATTATTATTTTCTAGACATTACTTTCTATTTGAGCCCTTGGTATCAGCTTCTCTTTATTCCCTCCCTCCCCACTCCCACCCTTGGGATCCCTTGATAAATTATAAATTATTATTTTCATATCTTACACCAACTGCTGTCTCCCTTCCCCCAATTCTTGTCTTATATATGGTTTCCAAAGATGCTTTCCTAGGCAGCCTTATCACTTTTTTGTAGTCTTTTGATGAAAAAAGGCTTTAATATTTATGAAATCCCATTTATTTATTTTATCTTTTGCTGCTTGTGCTATTGTTATTATATTAGGTGATGCATTGTTAAAAGCTAAACCTGACAGTGTTGCCCCTGCTTTTCTTTCAAGATTTTTATGGCCCAAGTTTGCACGTTTAGGTCTTAAATCCTTTGGAATTTGTTTTTGTACATGGAGTGGGGCATGGACCCTGTTTAATGTTTCTGCATGTGGAAATTCTTTTTTTCCCCAGCACCATTTATTGACAAGGATTCTTTGCCCGTGGACTGGACTTAAATCAGTTGTCAAAAAATCAGTTGACCAAAGATGTGTACATTTGTTTCTGGATTTTCACTTCTTAACACAATCGATTCGTCTATTATTATGCCAGTACCAGGTTGTCTGATTACTGTAGCTGTAGGTTACTGTTGTTGTTAGATGTTCTCGAGTTGATTCAAACTCACAGTGACCCCGGGTACAACAGAAGGAAACCCCGCGTGGTCCTGTGCCATCCTCATAATTGTTCTTATATTTGACCCCATCATTGCAACCACCATGTCAATCCAGCTCACTGAAGGTCTTCCTCTAAACCCGTGGTTCTCAACCTTTCTGATGCCGTGACCCTTTCATACAGTTCCTCATGTGGCGGGGATGCCCCCACCATAACATTATTTTCATTACTACTTCATCACTGTCATTTTGTTACTGTTCTGAATCGGGCGACCTCCATGAAAACGTTGTTCGACCCTCAACGGGGTCTCGACCCACAGGTTGAGAACCATTGCTATCAACCAACCTGTCTTGGAAGGCTCCCTAGAAAGTGATGCTGTTTAAAGTTAGATGTTTTGAAATCTTTTGTGGTTGAATTACTAAGCCCATTTAATAAGCCCATTTTTAAAACCATCTAGACTAGGACACTGAGTCTCTATCAGGATAATGAAAAACACTGGGAACTTGGTAAGGTGATGGTCTCACAACAGAGTAAAACAATCAATGTCTCTGAATGGTACACTGAAAAGTGGTTACAAAGACAAGTTTTTATCATATATATTTTACCATGGTAAAAAAAAACTGAAATCTTCTAAGCTACACTCATAAGCGGGGAGGGTGTATGATCCTTACTCCTGCCCCTAGATTCATATCATTAGGGAGGTGGAGCAGCCAGGTCTTCAGGCATGAGCCCTTAAGAAGCAACTCAACCTTCTTAATAGGTCATCAGTCCAGCCCCCGACCAAGTGAACAGTCAAAAGTACCCAGCTCTACCTTTAATGAGCTTCATTAAATGGCTGCTTCCAACACACTTCACTTCCAATTCATTGCTACCTAATCCCCATTAAGAGCTCAATATGTTTGGAGGACTAACTGCCAGTGCCCATCCATTCCTCCAGGTGCTCTGCAGTGCTATCTGTGAATTAAGCCACACCATTGAAGGATAAAAGGACCACAGCCTTTTGCCCTACATAAAATCGCTTTCATTGACCTGCACTTTGGGTGGCTGGCTTTAAGAAAAAGCCTCCTGAAGTGCAATATTGTCTCTGCTGTGATGAGAGGGCTAGGGACCTCACCCAACTTGACAACCGCTGCAAAAGAATCTGTCCGTGTTATTACCAGGAAGACCCTAACTCTCCTTAGCAGCAGGTGTGTGTGTGTGCTCCCTGGCCCCTCTGGGTCATTTCACAGGACTACGCCCACTTGTCAAGGTGGCTCAAAGCCCAACTGAAAAAGGTGAGGCTCTTGTAGGACATGGTGCAGCTCAGAGCTAGGTGTCAGCAGACTCCTTCTGAGCCCTTCTCCCTTGTAGCTTCTCTGCAGCTATGATGCCCTGAGCCAGGCGGCTCTTCTTTTGTCCTGGAGCACAGAGGTTATGAGGGTTGCATGGGACTAAGATGATCAATTCGGCCTGGTTTACATGGTGAGTTCACTACCAAGCAAATCAACCTCGGGATTCTGTGCATGGAGGAAGAGATGGGAAGGACAGAGACAGCCATGGATTTAGCCCCTCAATTACATAACTGAGCAGTGGTGAGGTTGAGATGCAAGCTAGAATCTAACTCTGAAGCCCATGTTCTTTCTGCTAGATCACACTGTAGTCCATGGACCCGAGCTGGCTTGCCACATGCTTTCGTATATAAAGTTTTATTGAAGCACAGTCAGCTCTATCTGTTGACTTATTGTCCGAGGCTGCTTTCACACTGCAATGGCAGAGTTGAATGGTGAGAGCGTACGACCTACCAAGCTGAAATGCTGTTTAATATTTCCCTTTTTAGAAAAGGCTGTCGAACCCGGCTCTAGACAACAATATCTTAAGGTAGCAGTTCTCAACCTGTGGGTCATGACCCCTTTGGGAGTCGAATGACCCTTTCACAGGGGTCGCCCAATTCATAACAGTAGCAAAATGACAGTGAGGAAGTAGCCACAAAAATAATTTGATGGTTAGGGGTCACCACAACCTGAGGAACTGTATTAAAGGGTCATGGCATTAGGAAAGTTGAAAACCACTGTCTTAAAGAGTGGTATCAGAGTCATTCTCTTAAAAGCCCAGATTTCAAAGGCCTGCCTCAGGCCTAACCGGTTGTTTCTCCAGAAGGGGCTCCGGATTCTGCATTTCTAACATACCCCCCAAGGGCTTCTGGTGTTCTCAAGTTTCACTACAGGCCATTCTGGGACTAAACGTCTCCCTTGACCTTCTCTCAACCTGGTGAGACTTGAGAGTTAAGCATCCTAGCTCCTTGGTTCCTTAGGAGGGATGGTATGTATCTATTCTGTGCTGGTCCCCAGAGCTCCCCCAGATGGATCAAGGTCCAATTGCCCTAGCAGGTCCTTACTTGACCAAAGACCTTTTCTGGTTTCATTCTCTTCTCTGTTTCCTGAGCTCTAAATAAACTCACTGCCATCAAGTCAATGGTGATGCATAGCGACACTATAGGACAGGTAGAACTGCCCCCCATGAGTTTCCAAGACTGTAACTGTATATGGGAGTAAAAAGCCCTGTGCTTCTCCTGAGGAGTGGCTGGTAGTTTCGAACTGCTAACCTTGCAGACCGCAGCCCAATGCATAACCATTCCACCACTAGTGCTCTGATGTTTCCTGAGCTCACATCCTAAATAAACTGTGTGCCCTTGATCCTCGTCTGAGAGTCTGCTTCAGCGATGCCCACCTCCAGGTAGGCAGAATTCAGAGATTTGAGATTGTGATCAATGTTCCTTAGATTGTTTTACTGCTGCTTGTGTAATAATTGACACACTCCTGCCAGGGATCAGATTCTGGGCTGGTCTCAGGAGGGGTGCGCGGTAAGAAAGGGGAGAAGGAAAACATATGACAGAAATGAATGAGTTATGGCCCCCAACCCTGATCTAGCTCACAACTTAGTTGTGAGGAGGGAGCCAGCCCACAGATAGCACCAAGACAAAAGATGGAGGGTGCAGGAGGCACTGCCAAGGTAGACTCTGAACTGAGTGTGGTGATTTGAGGGCTAGAGCTACCACACAAATCACTCATGTGTGGGAGTGGAGAGTCACCAAGCCCCGCAGGTCGGAAGGCAGCAGAGTTTATACAGCACTTTACATGCCATTTTCCCCACTTCACAGCAGCCTTGTAAAGGGAAAGCATCCATTCAGCTTTTCAGATCAGGGACTTGGGGCCTAGAGAGGTCCAAATCTGCACAAGTCAAAGCAGAACGATGTCACCGCTGCTGCTCTATGCCACCAGGGACTTGCAGTATTTCAGGACTGGAATCAGCCGGGAGTCTGCTCTTTTAGGATTTCCTGAGCTAAGCTAAACTGATGCTCTCAATTAAAGAAATACTAAGTCTGGTCCTGGTTAACTTGGGAGGCCTGGGGAAGGCCACGACTCCAGGGGCTGGGTTCCAGGACTCAGACCTGAGCCCAGGTGGCAATGTGGGGCAGAGGGGGGCTGGCACCACAGTCCCCAACCCAGAAAATGGGAGGTCTCCAACCGAAATATCTTCCCCTGCCAACAGCTATGTTCCCCTCCCCAAAGCCTGGCCTAGCCCCTAGCCCCATAGAAGCCGAATTCTTGTTGCCATAGCAATGCAGGCAAGCTTACGTGTTCGGCTCAGTGTAGCTGTTATTGGCCAGCTTGGTGTAGCTGTTATTGGCCAAGGCAATTTCAAATCCGCCCGCAGAGTTATTTTGTCTGTAGTTTTGTCTGCACGGAAGCCCTGGTGTGGATGAAAGGTGAGTCATCCATCCAAGCCATGCCATTCAGCCAGGACCAAAAAGTGTGGCCTTTCTTTTGCCTCACTCAAACCAGATCCAGCCCCCTCACTGACTCACCCCA